ACCGCTCTTACGGAATAAAGACGTGATTTTTTGCATTTTTATTAATTTGTTTATTTAATTGCAAAATCTTCATGTTTCATAGCGGGGGAGCCGAGACGACGTGAGTGTGTTATTATCCGTTCAGTGGTTCAACCACTTCCTCGCGTGAATTGTTCAACCACCACTTTCTTCCAAAACAAATTTACATCGTGAATGAAATGCGATACCCCCAATACGTACGTCTATACAAACTTACATACATGCTCTAAAAATTAATCTTTTGTTGTTCCAATTAATCTTTATAATCTGCATTTTCTTATAAATTAATCTTTTAGATTACTAATTGATCAATTAAATATAATTTATATATTTCATGCGTTTACAGAAAAACTATTAGTCCTTTTAGTTATAACTATTAATCTATAAAATTGTTTTTTGTGTTAAATAAGAATTTAGTTTGGAACTAAAATAAAGGAATAATGTGATAAAATTTGTGGGGAAAAAAAGACATAGAAGTTAACGAAGGAAGAGGGAGGGAGGGCTTCAAAGAGAGGAGCTGAGTTTTGTAGTTAGGAAGACACTTGAGAGCCACTTGTTCGATTCTCCCTCTCACCCCCTTCTCCCTCGTTCTCTCCGTCCCTCCCCCCTTCATTTTCCTCCATTTCCTCTCCCTTTCTCGCCTCCCAAACACATCCCCTCTTCTTCTCGTATTCACCGAACCCCATAGCCTCTCCCCGATCTCCCCCCTACGACGCCAAATGGCCACGGCTTTCTCTGCTGCGAAGCTCACTTCCACATTCCCTCTCCGTGGATCTCACGATGACCGTCTCTCGGATCCCATCCGATTTCCCACCACCTCTTCCTTCCTCCGATCCTCCCGCAAATTCGCCCTCAATTCCTCTCCCAGGCTCAATCATGCCATCTCCGGTCGCCGATCTGCCGTCGTCGCTGTCTCCGAGGTCGTTAAGGAGAAGAAGATGAAGAACAATCTCGTAAGCTTCCCAATCCATTTTTTCCGTTCTCGAATCTGAAGCTTTATTCCCTATCTTACGTTTTTTGGGTAATTTACCCAAACAGTCTCGAATTTCCTCTTCGTGTGCTTGTTTATCTGGCTGTTGCCGCTGTCGTTTTCACACACATTTTTGTATATATATATCCGTCTATAACTTAGCAGAACTTCATAGTTGTTCTGTTCAATTCAATGCAAAGTTTGTAGAAGGATTTGATTTTTTCGCCTCTATCAACTATGATGCAGTGAGAATTTGAAAATTTTCTGTTAATGATATGTGAAAAATGATTTGGATTCAAATTGGATAGCTGGTCCTTGTAATTGCTTTTCGTATGGATTAAGGCATTAGAAAAGGAGATTGTAATGCCTGTGGTCTTAATTTCGTCATTAGTTGACCAAAGAGGAAGGCTTGGAGCTGTATGAAGACATGGTTCTGGGAAGAGCG